GGGAGCTCAAGGACTTTGGGATTGACGAATTCTCACGACCTATATCAGCCGGGATTCACGCTGAGGAGGATGATGAGCCAAGCGAAGATATGGAGGCCTTTCTCCTGAGTGGAATGCTTGATGAGGTTAATCTTGTTAATCTATTTCCTCCTTTAATATTGCCTTTCTTTAACAGGTGGATCTTGTTGCTGCACCACCAAGGGCCAAACCTCCCTTAAATGGCACAGTTAATCCTGAGGTATGCACCGAAATTAAAGAGTGTCTGGTGAAGGAAACTGAAAAGGGCGCAACTAGCATTCTGCAAACGCGAACATATGATTTATTCATCACTTATGATAAGTATTATCGCACTCCCCGACTCTGGCTTTACGGATACGACGAGGAACGACTACCCTTAACAGAATCACAGATGTACGAGGATTTTAGGTAGGATTATTACCTATGGACTATATTTGCTTTGCTACTGAGATTTATGCTGCTTTAACTATGTATTGTCTTAAATTGCATAGCCAGACGCTTTACTGATTTTTCCATTTTAAATAACCACCTGTTGCTACGGAATTAGTCAAGATCATGCTAAAAAGACGGTTACAACTGAACAGCATCCCCATCTTCCTGGAATGGTAATGCCATCAATTCACCCCTGTCGCCAGGCTGACGTGATGCGTAAGCTGATCGAAACAGTTGCGGAAGGCGGAGCAGAACTTGCTGTGCATCAATATTTAGTAATTTTTCTCAAATTCGTTCAGGCAGTTATACCAACAATAGAATACGACTACACGAGACATTTTAATCTTGACTGGCCATCTTAGTTCCCTAACTCAGGACCACGGTTCAGATAATTGCTTCGCTTATTTTCTTTAGCACAGGATAGCGACAAACGTCACCCTATTGCTAGATTTTTTCGTATTTGCATTTCATGACCCTTTATTTTTTATTTTGTATACGAGCCTTATTACCATGAAACTCCAAAAATTGCAACCTATACCAACACGCTAGTATTTTTCAGTCCAGTAAAATTGACTTTATCAGTGATTAAACATTCTTCTTTGGGAATGTGCATATATTATGATTTGTGAATCATTCTGGTTGTAGGCCTTGATCGGGCCATTTCTTATTGTAATCTAATGTTTATACTTACCTGAATTATAATTTATTTAAAAATGC